GTGTTTCTATATAATTTACTGTTAATAACTAATTGTAATATTATCTCCAGTGTTTCTATATAATTTACTGTTAATAACTAATTGTAATATTATCTCCAGTGTTTCTATATAATTTACTGTTAATAACTAATTGTAATATTATCTCCAGTGTTTCTATATAATTTGCTGTTAATCACTAATTGTAATATTATTATTATCTCCAATGTTTCTATATAATTTTCTGTTAATCACTAATTGTAATATTATCTCCAGTGTTTCTATATAATTTACTGTTAATCACTAATTGTAATATTATCTCCAGTGTTTCTATATAATTTACTGTTAATCACTAATTGTAATATTATCTCCAGTGTTTCTATATAATTTTACTGTTAATACTAATTGTAATATTATCTCCAGTGTTTCTATATAATTTACTGTTAATAACTAATTGTAATATTATTATTATCTCCAGTGTTTCTATATAATTTTCTGTTAATTACTAATTGTAATATTATTATTATCTCCAGTGTTTCTATACAATTTTCTGTTAATCACTAATTGTAATATTACTATTGTCTCCAGTGTTTCTATACAATTTTCTGTTAATCACTAATTGTAATATTATTATTATCTCCAGTGTTTCTATATAATTTACTGTTAATCACTAATTGTAATATTATTATTATTGTCTCCAATGTTTCTATATAAAGCTGTTTATTGCATTTATAATAACTAATATCTGGGTTCTTATCTTTCAGTCTTTGCTTTCTTCTTAAAACAAAATTCTTCTCTCCTATTGTTGTGTTTTTACTGTGCACGTTAAACATACTTACATTTTCTCAAAGTTCAGCAAACCTAGAAACGTAAATTAAAATTTTATTTAAATTATAATCACTCTAAATATCCAAGAATATTTATGATAGCACTAGTAAATAATATGTGAAGCCACAACAAAAGTCACTATAATCTGAAATCGGTCCGAATTATTGAATACAGAAATGTCATAAGTTTACTCCACAGATAAATCTCTAAGATTAAAATCACTTTAAAGTATTTCTAAACAAAAGAATTAAGTCTTAACGTTTATGCATGTATTATACATTTCCTTAAAAGTTTGTAGTTCGTGTTTATTATTTTTTTAGCTTTGGATTCATGGAAAGTAACATTGGACCCAGCTGTTCTTAAGCAGGTTGGTGTTAACAGACCATTACTACAGGTGAGTAAAATAATATTAACAGCTGTAACACTAGCTTTCTGTTCTTATATGTTAACAGACCGTTACTACAGGTGAGTAATATATTACTAACAGCTGTAACACTAGGTTTCTGTTCTTATATGTTAACAGACCATTACTACAGGTGAGTAATATATTATTAACAGCTGGAACACTAGCTTTCTGTTCTTGTATGTTAGCAGACCATTACTACAGGTGAATGATATATTATTAACAGCTGTAACACTAGCTTTCTGTTCTTGTATGTTAACAGACTGTTACTACAGGTGAGTAATATATTATTAACAACTGGAACACTAGCTTTCTGTTCTTGTATGTTGTCAGACCATTACTACAGGTGAATGATATATTATTAACAGCTGTAACACTAGCTTTCTGTTCTTAAGCAGGTTGGTGGTAACAGACCATTACTACAGGTGAGTAATATATTATTAACAACTGGAACACTAGCTTTCTGTTCTTGTATCTTAGCAGACCGTTACTACAGGTGAATGATATATTATTAACAGCTGTAACACTAGCTTTCTGTTCTTAAGCAGGATGGTGGTAACAGACCGTTACTACAGGTGAGTAATATATTATTAACAGCTGGAACACTAGCTTTCTGTTCTTGTATGTTAACAGAACGTTACTACAGGTGAATGATATATTATTAACAACTGGAACACTAGCTTTCTGTTCTTGTAAGACCTTGTAAAACTGTGTGTTTGAATGAGCCAGTCTTTTGCTCCGGCTTATTTTAAATAAATGGGTAGAAGACAAATTATTTATGAATCATACTCCAAGACAGGCCAAATATTACAAACTGACCACAAATGTGGAAAACATGGTGAGGTCAGGGGATTTCAAAAGTTATCCCACAACTTAAAAAAAAAAATAAAGACTTGCCCGTTATTGGTGTGTTTTAACATAATCTTTATCAGTTGGTCACTGTTTTATCTGTTGATAATTATCTAATTGATTATATGTGATGATTGGTTAGGTAAAATATTATTTTATAAATAAAAATATATTTAGTATTGAAGCACATTATGCTAACATAATAAGTTGGCAAACAACGATTTATAGGCATAATGAAGTGATTTATTGCGGGGGGGAACATACTACGTGTTTTGACGGAATGTAACCGAAGAAGATAGACCAGCGTTTTGTTCAAACATATAGTATGCTATCCAAAAAAATAAATCATTTCATTGTGCCTATAAATCGTTATTTGCCAACTTGTTTTAAAATATAACATCTTAACATTTGTCATCAATGTTTTATTCTGAAGATAAATAGTTTCTGAAGTTTGTAGTAATTTTTATAATCAGATTACACACTAAAGTGGTGTTAATTAGGTAGAATTAAGAGTAAATAGTGAAATATCAGTGTTTCGTGTATGTACTTGTGCAGATTTGAACAGTCTGGAAATTTGGGAGGGGGGGATTTTGAAAGAATGTAGCCATCCATTATTAATGATAGAAATTGACGTAGATTGCATTCTTTTTAATAAGTTCATTATAAATTTCAGAAGGTGTACTACACCTATATTTACGTGATGATGAAGGTGTACTACACCTATATTTATGTGTTGATGAAGATGTACTACACCTATATTTACGTGATGATGAAGGTGTGCTACACCTATATTTACGTGATGATGAAGGTGTGCTACACCTATATTTACGTGATGATGAAGGTGTACTACACCTATATTTACGTGATGATGGTGTACTACACCTATATTTACGTGATGATGAAGGTGTACTACACCTATATTTATGTGGTGATGAAGGTGTACTACACCTATATTTACGTGGTGATGAAGGTGTACTACACCTATATTTACGTGGTGATGAAGGTGTACTACACCTATATTTACGTGGTGATGAAGGTGTACTACACCTATATTTACGTGGTGATGAAGGTGTACTACAC